GACTAAGAGTCCATTTCTAGCAGATATGTCTTCTGGAAACCAGTTTTTTAAGATAATTTAGAATATATTTTATAGTTTAGGACAGATAAATTCTAAAAGTGAAGGTTTTTACCTTTAGAACAACTTGCTAAGTGTTAATAGGAAATATCAGTGACTAAGAGTTCATTTCTAGCATATATGTCTTCTGGAAACCAGTGTTTTTAAGATAACTGAGTAAGATTAATATCATGAATAAGTGTTTTTACCATTATTTAAATGTTATTTGATTATTGGCTAGGAATGTATGTATTATTATAACCTATAACAGAGGTACCACTGTTATAGATCTTTGTGCATGACAAATAGGTAAGTGAGAAATTAGAATATTATTCCAAGTTTTGAATACAAATGAGATAATAGGAGGAAAAAATTGATTTCAGGTATAAAAAATGAGACTGAGTAGGTCCTCGCATGCTATATTTTAAGTGTTTAACATTGAAAAAAATATATTTTCTTAAGAAATGACATCAGAAAAGTATTGCTTATTTTTCTAGTGCATTGTTTTCACTTTAAGATTAATGTTGAGATTGTGGACACTGCAACATTTATTAGTAAAAAATTGTTCCTCATACAAATTTTCTATGAATAATGAAAGAGATCTTACCTTTTTGCATAAATGAACTCAATAATACAGAAATTTTGAAGTATTTAAAGGTTACAAAGTATTAAATCATGTTATGCTTAGTAGTGTTTGTTAATTTGGTTTTCTTTTTAACCTACTTAAACAATTCTAAAGTGAAATTCTTAGAGAAAGTTATCTTTAATGGATATATCTAAGAGTTAATTAAATAAGCAGTGAAAATATTTATGTTCTTTTCTTTAAACTAAGTTCTCTTTTTATGAAGTGCTCACTCTTGTCATCGCCTGTTTCACTATATTTGTTTTTAGAAAAATCTGAATATTTGTAACATAAACCATGCACAATATAACTTGATGCATTTGTTACTGATATTTTTCTGATACTGTTTTTTTTTCCATTGATTTTAATTTAAAAAAAATACTCGTAAAGTTATTTTAATGTTAAATTTTACTCCAGATTTCGTCTGTATTTATATGTACTGTTAACAAATTATTCTTATTAACTACTTAACTTTAGCTATAGGTGCTGGCACAGATAGTCTTTTAATCAATCTACACTTACACCATCAGTCACCAAAAGTGTATAGGGTTAAGAACACAATTCAACAGATTTGTGTATTTCCAAGAAACAGTGTGAAAAAGTTCACTGTTCTCCTGTCACATAAAAGTTTGTTCATTGAAGAATTCAAATATTAAATTCAAATTCACTCTACATTTATCTATTGGAGTTTCAGAAATCATATATTTTCAGAAATATCTGCTTATGCTTACTAATTCTCACCACTAAGTGAAGCTTTCAGCTAGCATGGCTAACTATCAAGTAGACAGAAATATATATAGATATTGTCACTCAAAATGTTTAGTGTTGAAAAATAATCTAAGCTGTGGGCCTAAAGTATATTTATGAAACAGTGGAATATTTATATACATTTGTGATTGTGTTTTTTACAGCAGACCAAGAGACTGTAACTTGAAGTTGTTTAATTATTAGTAAGTGTTGCTTCAAATAACATTATAATGCAAGAAGGCCTGAAGCACAATATTTAATATAATTTAATATAAACACCAAATAATTAGATTAATGACAACTCTCAGGAATAAATAGAATAAACAGCTCTTCTGTTGTGCAAGCTAAGATTCACTGGTCTTTAAATTGTGTTAAAAATGGTTGTATTTTGAGGGTGCAATTTCATTCCCAAAAGATGTTTCAGGAATACCACATTTCATTCACTTGTGAATTATATAAATTTTGAAACTTCTTGTGCAGACTGTGTGAACAACAGATAGTTTTAAATAGTTCTATATTTTGGTTTACTCTTGTAATATATATGTGTATACTAATCCATAGCATTGTAAATTCAGGAAATATTTACTATTATTATTATTATTATCTAAATAGTATCCTGTTATCTTTATAGATACATTAGGAAAATAAGATGTGTAGGTGCCAAAATTATAAGGAGTGTTCTTGTTGAATGTGTAAAGATGTCTTTGCAATATATATATTGCAGACAGTAATGATTCACAAGGAAAAAGTTGCACGTCGAGAGATTGGAATCCTGACTACTAATAAAAGTACAACTCGCCAACATAAAATTCTAGCGCCTGCTAATCCTGAACGCCCAATTAAATATACTCGTAAACCAATAGACTTCAGTGTCTTGGATGATGTTGGTCATGGAGTACGAACTACTTCAAGCAACCCCCGTTTAAAGCGTGCTGCTTCACAAGTTGTACCAGGACATATAAATCCTAGTAGTGCAGGACCTGCTCCAACTACTAAACCCCCAACACCACCTCAACCAGTACGAGCCACAAGTGGAAGTGGAGGAAGTCTTTCTCGTGGAAATCGTGAATATCGAACACCAGCTCCACCTATAGCTCCACCACAAGTTCCCAGCAATTATGCACCAAATTTTCCTATTGGCCACCCAAGAGCACAGGAAACAAGAAGAGGTAGTGGTTATTCCACCCTTCCTGCAGTGGGCAACCAACCTCAGTCCTTATCCAACATTTCTGCACAACAACCTCAAGTAGGTATGGTTCATCCAATGTCACACCTTCAACAGAATCTGGGCTCCATGGGTCCTTCCTCTCCTACTCCTCCACCTCCACCCATGCCAGATGTATCAATGACGTTATCAACTGATAGTCTCCCTGGTAAGTTTAAAATTTTACAAAATATTAGAAAATAAATATTATAAATTTGATGTGATGTAATACAAGATTTGGAGAAACATTTGCTATTCATTAATATTTTAAATTACATATTATTTGGGTTACCAAGCCCTTTTTATTTTACTGAAATAAGTCCTCCAATGTGTACTGTTCAAGATCCAGATGGGTACCCAGTTGGCATGTTAGAGAATATTTTTAAACGCTCAAACCTTTTATACTAGAGATATGAAAAAGACTTGCAGATGATCCTTCAAACAAGATGTATGTTTGGTTTGTTGAGATGTTTCTTAATAGTCTGCTGAACGAGAATAAAACCAATCACAGCTTTTGTTTGTGTGTAGGAAAATTACTGCTACTAACTTGACACAGTTTAAACAGTTACATGTCATAATAAGTTTGTCACAGATGTTAACTTCCTCTAACATTCGACAGTGTGAGTGGCTTAATGCATTGGTCAAAAGACATGTTAGGGAGGATTGGAGAAAAATCAAACATGTTATACTACGTTATTTTTCAAAGGAATTTACTTCTGCAGTAGCTAGTGTTTTGCTGTTCCCTAAGTAAGGTGTACTATATTATTTATTTATTGTTACTTTCATTAACAGTATTGGTTATACTACTTAATATATGAAATTTAAGGAGTTTTTAATTTTATTTTAATTATGCTTCTATCATAGAGGTAGTTTTACATTGTTAGCACAATATATATGTATTTAGGAATAACCTAAATTTCCTAAGCTGGCTAAAACTTGAGATAGTATTAGGATTATGACTAAATAAATCAATAACAGTGAGGGTACCCAACTGATGATACAATGCATTCTAAAGTATGTAAGGAAATGATATTTAATTAGCTATACTGATTGACAGGTTGATTTTTAGTTTTGCTCTAAGTTCATAGCTTGCTATGATTGGATATTAATAGTAATTAGTATTGTACAATATTCATGGAACAAAGTAAGCAGAAGATAATGATGATGATTGTGTCTTTCAAGCTCATTGTTTGCTTGTAGTTAGACCATACTGCCTGTTTAACCTCTTTGTGTCCTTATCTGTTTGAAGCCACAATTCCCCCTCAGAGATTATTGTAGTCATTATGTCTCCATAATCTTCATCTAACCATGCATGCATAATTTTGGCATGATGGATGGAAGCATTGTCTTCTTAAAAGTAGCTGTTCCCATCAGCGTACACATTAAGTATTGTTGGGTGAACTTAATCAGAAATGATGCTGGAGTAAACTGTGGCATTTATTCTGCTTTCTAAAAAGACCAAGAAGCCTGGTATATTTGAGGAAACATGCTCCCAAAGCATGTTTCCACCACCGAAGATTTGAACAGTTGTGACCACACAAGAATGGTGATTTATCTTTGTGGCTTTTTCCAAATCTGTCTTCTCAACCTACACCAAAAAAAGTAAAGAATGATTAGTTGGACCACATCATTTCTCACCATTTGTTTCTTATTAGTCCAGTTTCTATGTTCTTTACACCACTTGAGATATTATTTTCTTGTTAACTGAATTCATTGGTTTATGCACTGGTCTCCTACTGCCGTAATCAATTTGTTGGAACTTCCCTCACAAAGTATAGCTGGAGATGGGTGTGGACTGCCTTGTACTGAATGTTTGATGGTGGTTGGACTTTACCTCCTGTATAACCACTTTTTTTGTGATTATGTGTTTGAAACCACAATTCCTTCTCAGCAGACATTCAGCTTTTTTCCATTGCTAATAGATTCAAATGACTGATATCTTGGAACATTCTACCAATTAAACTGTTTTAATGACTGTGGCACCCACTACAGTCCTTCTTTTGAACACTGCAATATCTTTGCCTTTTCCTTTATATGTTAGACTGACTTAAAATGTGTTTGTCTCGGTCATTTATAGTGCACCAAGGATCACTTACTACCTCATGCAATGAATCTAATTTACATCAGAAGCTCAGGTCAGGCCCAAGTCTGAAAGTGTTCATAGTTTCCAATAAGTTGATTAGCCAGTGTACATCAAAGTTACAATTTAATGAGGATTTAAACATACTAAAAAAACATTCCATTTTCCTCCCAGCACATGAAGTAATTAATGTAACCTGGAGCAAGATTTTAAACCATTGACATGCTGCTTTCTTACAGTTTAGAGAATTTATAGTCAATTCCTCTTAATTTTAGAATTTTAACTACCAAAACAAAAAATATCTTCTTGACATGTCTCCAGACCAAAAAAAAACATTGGTCAGTCATAAATTTCTTTCCATTTTACTGTTACCACTCTAGAGGGCATGACACACTGAATGTCATGCTATGGCAACAAAAGATTATAGCAAACTTTTTGCAAGAAGGTTTTATGGTTTATTGCAACAATATTGCTGAATTAATATCAATACTAGGAGCTTCAGTCTATGAACCAAGTGAGCAACAATTGATCATTGATTACTCCTAAAGAAGTCTAAAAGGTGTTCTCCTTCACAATGGTAACATATATGCATCTGTTTCTTTTGCTCATTCGGTTCACTTGAAGGAAACGAACAAAAATATCGAACTTCTTAATAAGGTCAAATACAAAAAACATGGTTGGCTACTTTGTGGAGACTTAATAGTCCTTTGTATGTTGTTGAGTCAACAATCCAGTTATACTAAGTTCCATGTTTTTTTGTGTGAATGGGACAGCAGAGCACAAAATAAGTATGAATAAAGAAGTAATGGCCACACAGAGTCAGCCTGATACCAGGATCGAAGAACGTTGAACGTGAAAGTTTCATTAACACAAAGAAAGTCCTATTACCTCCACTTCACATAAAACTGGGCTTGATGAAGCAGTTTGTAAAGGCCTTAGACAAAGATGGCAATTGTTTCAAGTATCTATGTGGGCAATTCATAGCTCTTTCAGAAGTGAAACTTAAAGAAGGGATTTTTGTTAAGCCTCAGATTAGGAAGTTGACATCGGATGAACAGTTCGAAAGGACAGTGAGGAAAATTGAAAAAGAAGTGTGGATTGCCTTTTAAGATATTATGGACAAATGTTTATGAGACAGAAAACAAAAAGGACCCAAATTACACAAATATTGTCAATAACATGCTTGATAAATTCAAAGAGTTGGGTTGTAATATTAGCTTGAAAGTTCATTTATTACACTCGCATATGGACTATTTTCCTAAGAATCTTTGTACCATCAGTGAAGAACAAGTGGGAAGGTTTCATCAAGACATCAGGGAAATGGAGAGGAGGTATCGGGGAAGGTGGAACATCAACATGATGGCTGATTATGGCTGGTCATTGAAACAAGATGCTCCAGATGAAATACATAAAAGAAAGACTACAGCACGTAGTTTTGAGACTAAAATTCACAGATTTCGCAAAAAACTCGAGATGAATGAGGATGCATATTCATTTGACATCAGTGTTTTTCCCTTTTCTTCAGTTTATTTACAAACATAATAATAAAAATTTTCATTGTGGTAAACAAAATAATAATTTGATCTAAGTAAGAGTTTTTTTCTTCCCAATTTGTAAAAAAATCCTTACGTGATAGAAAATTTTTTTTTTTGAAATCGACATAGCTGTATTATAGAAAATCCATTGTTAAAACCAAAACAACTTTTATGAAATTTAAATTCTTAGGCATGTGTTATAGTATCTCAGCCAGTGTTCTATAATATTGTATATGGATGCTTATTACTTCATATTATGTAATTTACTTGGATACACCTAAATAAATATTATACTCATGAAAATTCATATTTCTTGTGATAGCACCACTATAAAGTAGAGTTTGATGTTTCTGTTCTGTTTTTCTTGCTACTTTAAGTAAAATTTTTCCATACTAACCTATTTAAGATGAAATTTAAAACATATTTTTAGCACTAAAAAAATTCTTAACCATACTAACTGGTCACTCATCAATCTTGATCAGAACATGAAGAAATACAACAAAATAAAAGTGTAAAATAGCTGTACGCTTCTCTGCTTTTCTTAGTTAGCAAACCGACTATATATCATGACTTCTGATACTTCAACATCATTATTTAGACTTTTTGTAGTTTTTGATATACAATAGTGTTTTAAAGCTTAAGTATCATCATTCATGAAATTGTTGCAATTCATGCATGAATTAAAAATAAGACCCAAATGAAAAAGTTATTATACTTTAATTTTTTTTTTTTTCACAAGTACTATTAGTAATTGCATATAAATAATTACATTAACAATTATGAAGATGCATCCTGCATGTTTTTTATCTTATATGAATGGGATATTTAGCATTGTTCTTTCATATTAAACGCATTTCATTTTTACATTTTAACCCTGCAGAAAATCATATTTGCTTGGTTTTTGAAACATTTTAAAGTAGTTATTGTAATTTACATAAGTTTATCAGTTTATATCTCCCTTCCTTGTGGTGAACGAGACATATTCTTTTACATTTGGGTCAGTGGTCTTAAGCATGGAAGTAAACTAGATAAGGTATTGTCCTATTTGTTTCATTGTGAATGAGTCAGTATGTGGAAGTTTCTTTTGTAGTATGCATGACTGCTTGTTTTCAGAGCCCCCACCCCACCTGACCTCCAGGGATTACTCAGGAAATGGTAAGTTCATGACAAGGAACTTCTGTGAATAATTAAATAGTTAACTTAATGATCAAAATTTACTGTATAACAAAGAATTGCGTCTTTCATGCTAAAACATTTTTAACACATGCAAAATTTATTTATCTGTGCTTCTTTACAATTACAAACTATTTTTAGCTTATTGTTAGTGTCAATACTAGATACTACTGTTATAAATGTATGACAGTATTAAAATCTTGTGTTCTGATACTGAAAAATTCATTATAATTTCTTTTTGCAAGCTGATTAAACAAATTTCTGTGTTTGATGTGTATGCTATGTAACATACTGTCCTGTATTCTAAACTTTTACCATTTTTGCATCATTCCTGGTCAAAGATAAATTCAAAAGTAAGATGAAACGAAGTCATATTTTCCCAGGTTTCAGATTGTGTCACTTGTTTCAAATTTTGGATCCACTTCTGAACAAAATTGAAAACTACAGTACAGTTTGTTTATAATGTAGCTTTCAGAATCTCACCCTTAAGCATTTATGTAGAGAATTATTGTATTAGAATGATCTTTCACATACAGTACATATTCTTTTTAATTTTTAGTACATATTATGCTGGGTGGGTCTTAAATTATTATCGCATCAATGAAGTACAGAAGTTTTAAAATTGATAATGACTATTAACAACAACAACAAGGAATGTGTATGAATTAGTCTAGTCATTTTTGTTCACCTTATAACATTATTATGAAACTTGTGTGATACCTTAACACTGAGCACAGAAAGAGTTGTTGCAGAATCTTTATGGCCTCAATTTTACCTAAAGATTATACATTCATGTTTATAGTATTCCAATATAGTACTTACCTTCGCTCACAAGATTAGCTATTTTCATCTAGTGCTGCCCTCTGTATGCAAACTTTTTATTTATGCATACCACAATCCTTCTGCTCCCCCCCCCATTGGAATTGCAAGATTCTAACACGTCTCATGCAAATCATCATGCGTCACCTCATTATCAACAGGAACATGACATGCTCATATGACACGTGACTCTTTCTACACTCCTCTACCAAAGTATCTCTTCTCGTTTGGCAGCACATTTGTTTGGATGTGCATTTTTCTTTGTTTAATGCATCACACTCGAATTTGCATTCGTTCATCCTATATTTTTTTTCTATTAGTATTTATCAGTTAATTCTAGTCGCCTTATCTTCTGCACTCGAATTTGTTGGACGTTTCTGTGCAATGAATTTTGAAGTTAACGTTACCACTTCGGAGGTTACACCAGCAACCAGCATTTTTTCTCAGGCTTCAGATGTGGGCAACCCGACGGTTGATTTATCTGCTTTTATACGCCAGGAGATTGAATGTTACATGGGACAACTTTTGTCCCTGGACATCACTCAGGCTCCTCCAGAACAGGCTGTCCCTGTGCAGGCTGACGAGAGCTTCAGTCATCTTTTTCCTCCTCTAGATTTTGTCATTCCTTACCATTTCCAACTCGATGAGTCGGCTAGGCCTAATACAGTTTTATGGATTTTGTGTTTCATGTTTGTAACGTTTTATCCCTTTTGCCTATTTCTTATGTACCTTGTCCTTCCTTACTGCATGAACAATCTTCCCAACCCTTTTTTCCTTTTCCTCCCTCACCTGATATTCGGGTTCATGCTGATCAATTTACTTCGCAGTTTAGTGAGGAGATTAACATGCAGTGCCCCATGAACTTTCCTACCATTGTGCTGACTACCCATTTTTAGACTAGCAGTTTTTAGGTTTCTTACTGCCTATATGGGGGTGGTGGTTCCTGAATCATTTGTCAGTTTTTAGGGATTTACATATGGCTCCATTTCTAAGGCATTATGTTTTTGATACAGTCCCAGATACTCTAGAGTATTGGGTGACATCGGTCCAACAACAATCCACCCTTACGAATATCATGGCCCATTTGTCTTCCCCTTCCCAGCTCTTATCCATCCCTTCTACTTGGGGTACTTTTTCTTTTTGCTTTCCTCAATGACATACTCCCCATCACCACCAGTACCAGTGACTACCCAGTGGGTTCTGGTCTGGTGGGAGCTTAGCTGTTCAAGTTTCCTCATTGCTGGAATTCCTTCATCAGTGATCAATGGGTGTTTCAGGTTCTGTCAGAAGGAGTCATTGTTCAGCTTCTTTCCCTACCTCCTGTCTCTCCTTACCCTGTTTCTTTCCCTCCTCCTCGAGATCCTGTGACTAGTCAGCATCTGTTGGAAGTGGTTTGGGTATTGTTCTTACTGCGAGCCATAGAACCTGTTCCCTATCCTTCCTAGTATTGTTATTCCTGCCTTTTCATTGTCCCCAAGAAAACCAGAGATTGGCAGCCAGTAATCGAGTTATTTCACCTCAACCGCTTTGTTTCCCTACCACAGTTCTCCATGGCATCTTTTCTTACTCTGAGATGGGCACTTTCTCCAGGGTTGTGGATGACCAAAATGAATGCTCCAATGCTATCCTACATATATCGATATCACCTCAATCTTGTCCATCTCGGGGTGGTTTAACAATTTCGGGCCTTTCCCTTCAGATTTGCCGTGGCACTTTATGCATTTTGCCGAGTAGTCAGAGCTTTTGCTCTGGGGCTGCGATCTCATTCTTACGTGAATGACTGGCTTCTTCTGGCTCATTCCAAACTGGAATCGGCCAATCATATTCAGCAGCTCCTTTCTGTGGTGGATCGGATTGGCTAGTTGATCAAACTGGAGAAGTCTTTCCTCAGACCCACTCAGTATCTTGTACAATTTGGGGATCTTTTTCAACACTCATTTCAGTCGGGCCCAACCTTCTCCTTTATGACTTTGTTGAATGGAACTGTTGGTTTGCTATGCCCTCTTGGCTCAGTCACTTACTGCTCATGGGGTTCTATTGCCTTTGCCCCCCTCAGTCATGCCCATATGAGATCCCTTCAGTGAGCACTTCATGACTGATGGAACCTTGCTCAGGATCCTCTTTCCACCCCAATTACCCTTCCTTTTCCCCTGTGAGATGATCTGCTTTAGTGATTGGACAAAGCCCATAAATCAGCAAGCGTGCAACTTCCTCCCTAGTGTTTGTATCTACATCTTTTCATGGATGCATCCCTTCAAGGACAAAATCACTTTGCATATCAATGTTCTTCAACTTCTAGCATCACTTCCTTCTTCTTGCCTGACATTGTCTGGTGATGGTTCATTCAGACAATTCTACAGTAATGACATATCAACCACCAAGAGGGCACCCGGTTCAGAGATCTCTGTTGGATCTTTTATACTGGGCCCATGCACTTCACATTCATCTTATAGCATGTCATGTGCCAGGGGCTTTCACTCTGGTTATGGATCATCTTTCACTCCCTGACTAGATATATCCCACAGAAAGGTCATTAGATCCCCTTGTTTTCAGGGATCTTTGCCATCAGTGGGGTTCTCTCCATGTGGATGCCTTTGATACAGGCCTCAACAACAAGTTACTTCTCTTTTGGTTACCTATACCTCTTCCCCAGGTTCTGACAGTCGATGCCTTTAGCCAGGATTGGTCACACAAGTATCTTTATTTGTACCTGCCCATCTGAATACTTCATTGGCTGATTTCTCTCATCCACTCCACTTCTTGTCTGGTCCTCCTGATTGCTCCTTATTGATACCCCACAGGCAGATTTTGGATTTAAAGTGAACCGATCAACATAATCCCTAACACAGGTTTCTGGGTTGTCTATCTTCCTCCCTCGATTTCCTCCGACTGTGTTGTGGGTCACAGCGGTGGTACATGAGATTGTTCTGGTTCTGTCCTTGGCTATCCCTCGTCCTCTCTTCTTACAGAGATGTTATTGCCATTAGGATGATACTGGCGTGTTTCACAGTTGGGGGAGTTCCAATACCAGATGTCAAGTTCCCAGATCAATAGCTCAGAGTTTATCCTCGTGTCGTACTCGGGAATCAGAGTAATTCTCAGATCCCCGGTTCTTGAATTTGAGGGGAAGATGGGATGATCCTCATCCTACCCTTTTAGGATCTGAATCTCTCATTTCTAGGGGCATCCTTCGGATGCTTTCAGGGGGTATTTCTGTCGTATCCTCACACTGGTCCCTCCTCCTTATCAATGTGGGATTCTAGCTAATCTTTTGAGAGGAGGTAAGTATCGTATCGGAAGTTATAATTTTCCTTAGTGAAAATGTATTTCTGATAGGCACTTGCCTCCTCTCACACTTCCTCTGCACATTTCTCCAGTGCTGACATCTTCTGCCAGACTTCAAGGTGATAGTTCAGTAGAGGAGTGTAGAGGGAGTCACATGCATGAATGAGCATGTTATGCTTCAATTGGTGAGGAGGTGATGCATGATGATTTGCTTGAGAGACATGTCAGAATCTTTCACTTCCAATAGGTGGGAGTGGAAGGCTTGTGGCACACATAAGGAAAAAGTTTGCATATAGAAGGCAACACTGAACAAGAATAGCTAATTTTGTAAGCAGAAGTAAGTAGCTATTGGAAATACATTTTTAGTATAGGAAAATTATAACTTTTATTACTTAAGCAATCATTAATAAAGGTTTTTACTACAAGTTCTGTAGAAAGTCATATGAAGTGTAATATTTTGTGCAAGAAATTGTATAGTTGACAGCTGTGAAATGAACCTCAAGATAATGCTTGGATTTTTCTTTTTGCATAGTGATAAGTAGCAAGCAAGTCAAGTTATTTTTCAGATTTACAAAGAGTTATTAATATTAATAAATTGGTATAATATTAAAATTTACAGAAATCATTATCTTCCTCTTGCATATATCAGTTTGTATTTGTATTACTTATTTCATTTGTATAATTGGCAGGGTAGTGATATGTTTGTTTTTTGTTCTCCACCATTATTCATTTCTTCAACTCAAACTAATGGCCAAGAAAGAAATATTATATATATCAAATATATTAGTTATATCGTGTTTATGTTATAGTGGTTGTTTATACTTATATTTATTGGCAAGATTTTAGTAGCTGCAAGTAGTTTTTACCTTATAAAGTAAGCAGAAATGTAACCTAAAACAAGCTGTTTAATTTCACACCTGTACATATATATCCAAATGCATTACATAACACATAAATATACCATTTTATTATTGTTAATAGATGATATCTAAATAGTAATCTGTGAGTCAGCAAGTACATTTACTTATACGTTTGACTGGTGTATGTTCCATCTCTGAGTAAACTCTTGCCATGAAACTAATTAATAGAAAGTTAGAGTGTAAAAGTATACTTTCATACTCTATTAAATATCTATTTTATGTTTTTAAAAGGGAAATCCAGAGATGACACAACACTAATGTAAAGAATTCTAAAGCATTGATACATGTCACATAAAATATTTTAACAAAATTCCCCAATTAAATATATCTTTTATATATTTTGGCGGATGCTGGGGGCCACCATTTTCCCTTCATCCTCTCTGCTGTGATATACAAGTACATAGAAAGATACATCCATGTGGTTGGCTTAATGGGACACATTTCTGTGCTCGGACACTTTACTATCTGTTGCAGAATCCTATAACTAGAGGCAGTTCAAATGCATAAAAAAATATTCCAAAATTTGAAACAAACACATGCTGAGAAATTTGGAAATTCTGCAGAATATATTCAGTTTGTAATATGTACAGTCATAATGGCTTATTATAAATATGTAAGTCAAGCAGACATAACTATACTAAACAATTTATGAGTAAAATAATTTCAATTTAAAGTATCAAGCATTTTGTCAGTAAAACAAAACAAAAATACAGAAATATAATTTATCCATATGTTACAAATAATTCTTTACAATAAAATACATTAGAGTAATTTGGTTAACAGATATTTAAAAGTATGTTTCCTTATATGTCTGATGTTTATCATTACAAAAATAAACTTTCCATTATATATTATACAAGCAATTTACTGCTGCCACTGCTCAGCTTTCCCTCTCTCATTCTCTCGCAGCCAGTTATATGCACAATCTCTTGTAACAAAAAAACTGTAGCATAACTGAACTCACTGTTATATCGTGCTTAAACTATCCGTTTGTTTCTGTCTTTAAGCTTGCCTCCACACTTAGGCAATCTTGCATTTTTCTCTTGTGTTTAATTCCCTTATTCAGTTTTTATTTTAATTCTCTCGCTGTCTTTTTACACATACAAGTACATACCTGGTTCAAATGTCAAATAGAGCAAACTGGATCTCTATAACATTGACTTGCCAGTTTATAAAATTTTACTCTACAAATATATATATATATATATATGTGTGTGTGTGTGTGTGTGTGTGTGTGTGTAATCTAGCACATCATTTGAGGCAAAGTCAAGTACATTAGCAGAGGTTATCATTAAAGTTATGGTTGCTGTTCATCTACCTGCCTTTTAACAGGTTTGGAACCTGTTCACTTTCTTAATTAAATTATTATTCTAGTGTCTCCCCCACTTCCCCCACCACCACCTGAACATGAAGGAATATACCCTGGAGGTTACATACCACCTTCACCTCCAGCATTTTTGCAACCTCAAAGAAGTTCAGCTGATCCAGACTGGGCACCTAAGACTTACATAGAAAAAGGTGAGAGTTGTGTAGATTAGGAATTTACATAAATTCACTCAACAATTAGATCTCTTTGTTTGTTGATCCCAACTTTTGTTTTCAGCTTCTTCTGATAAATCTTGCACTTTAAATATTAGTGTAAGAATATCTTCCTCCCCAAAAAAAGTTTTTTTTGTGTATACTTAATAGAGCTCAGCATGAGTAAAAAAGTCTGGAACAGAGAATCTCTGTTAAAAATACTAGAAAATCCAAATCCTCTTTGGGTAATAAGAAATATATAAAAAATCTTGAATTAAATTGATAACAAATGTTAATGTTATTAGTGGACAACACAGTTAGCACTTACATAAACTCTGCAGGAAGCTAGGTTGTTTTCTTCCTAATTTACTTCCTAATACAACGTTGCCTACATTATTTTTGTGGTGTACTCACCATGTTGATATTCCACCAATTAAGAATCTCCACTACTGATGCAAAACATGCTTCAACATTATTTTTATTATGCTGGCCAGAAACTCACTTACAACTGCAATTTTACTTTGTCAAGTTAATAAGTGATAACCAGGTAATAAAAATAAACTTGGGTCAGGTATTTTAAAACCCCAAAAGTAGCCCAGGTTTGAGTACCTGTGCTGACCTCTAATATTTACCATTTTGTCTATTGTGTTTTAAGTTGAATTTTTTAAATGGTGATAGATGACTCATAGATTTGCTGAGAAATATAAACTTCATTTATTGTAGATGCACTAGTATTAAATTTTAATAACTCATTAAAGCTCCACAGTTCATTCTCCAGGGAATCTAGGTTTCTTATCTCAGTGATAAAATGGCTAGGCCTTTTGTTAGCCTTACTGTTGCTACAGAGCTGTTAATTTAAACAGTTTCTTAAGTCAAATACATTGCCATGAGAACTGAGTGTAAGAGTATATAAATTCTAAACTAACACAATGTTTGTAAGATCATTCACAGGTCATCATATCTCTTCTTAATAATTCTGACTTTCTTTGCTTATCGATTAACACAATGAGAATTGTCAGGTACCAAGACTCAATTCACCATTATTTAGTGCAACTTTTATGACTAAGTTAGGCAGCATTCAAATTGCTCAAAACACTACAAGAGTGATATATGAAGATGAACTGTAAACATAATACCAGTATGTTGCAGACCACACAACACTTTAAATCTTACAAAAAGGAACAATATACAAAATATTCATCACATATTTTGGATCTATTTTGTGCTTTACAAAGGCATGTACTTACTGTGAAAAAATCCTTAACAGGTGAAAGGAAAAAAAAAGTTAACTATAAGCTGAAAACTTTGAACACACAAAATAGTTATTGATATGCTATACAAATTAAATTGTAATTATTGTAAATTAATATTAAAAGAAAATATTGAAAATTATTATACACACAATGTCTTTAAAATTCTTTAATCTTAATATTTAGTTTGGTTACTTTTCACTTCACTGTAACATTGTGTCTGTGTCACAAAATTTCTAGTGTAGTTTGATTCCACTTTTCCTGAAGTTATGTCCAGAGGCTTGCTTTAGTACAGTTGATACTTTTGTCAACCATGGAGTCCAGCAAATCTAAAGTCTGTTCTATGGGGGTTAAGATCTGTTGCAGTGGTTATTCTGTTTGCTGGAGATCATCTCGGTTTTCTTTCTTTGCCAGTTGCTGTTTTACAGAGGGTTGTAGCATGATAGACTAATGTACTGTATTTATGCTAATTCATGACTCCATGAATTTTGTGAAGAAGACCAACACCATTTGCAGATGTTATGGTCTAATCCGTAACAGAGCCTCCTGCATGCTTGTTTGTTAGCACAAGGCATTCCTTCTGTAACCTCTTGTTGAATTTTTGGTAAACATATACTTACTAGTTGGAACCAAACAATTCAGATTTAGACTCATCTGTCCAAGACATCTTGTGCCACTGGTTGAAAGACTAGGTTACATTTTCTTTTACCAAAGCTAGTCTCTTTGCTCTGCTCAGTTATGTTTTTTTTTTTGCTATTACTCTTCCCAAAAGACCACATTTCTGCAGCATTTTTGACACTGTACTTCTTGAAACTTTATCTGCATGTGACTTTTAAATGCCATCATCAAGGTTTTTTGCAGTTTTTCTTTGGTTGTTGTGGGAACTGATATTTCAATATCTTAACATTTCTTTCATTGAAATTTTTCTCCATCCCCTGCTTTGTCTCATGTAAAAGGATGATATATCTGTCCAATGTGCACTTCAGAGTACTTATTGAACAGCCAAGGTATTTCTAAATTTTTCTTAAACTTCAGTCAGCACCATATAAAGATTTTACTCTGATTCTGTCAAAGGCTGTTCATTCTCTCTGTTTTAGTATTTTAGTAACAGCCTCATGACATAGTAATTGTACTGAATGATGTTTTGAAACAAAACAAAAACATCATCCCTTATATACTCACATGTATCTGCATAAAAGAAGTCTCCAAATGTGAAAATCTCACATTTTTAGCTGTGATGGCTGGTACAGAAATTAAAGAGCCATATGTAAAAATCGAAATGGTGTATTTAAGTGTTTTACACTCACAAAAAAGAAACCTATTATTCTATAGGTATTTGAAGAACTTGTAATATTTTGCCACAATTTAATTCTTAGTATTGTTAGCTGACACTGGGCAGCTGGTACATATTTGAATAGGGTTGTTTAAACATTTGTTTAACAACAAGCAAAAGCTTGAAATGGTCTATTCTTTCATTGGGGTGTGTGTTTGTGAGCCAGACTAGTTTCGGAGAATTCCACTCCTTATCAGTGACCCTTCATTGGTGGTAGTTGCACTACTTTGTATATGGAGCAACTTTTAAAAAAGTGGCTGCAATTAATTATTTGTAGCTAAGTGTAGCACGTAAGAATCATGAATAAAGTGAAAATATTATTAATTTGCTTATTATGATGCTTTTTCCACCATTTTAAGCTACAATGGTTTAATTTCATAGGCACAACAAATCAGAACTACACTACAGGAGCAATAGGGTGTTCTAATAAACATGCACAACACTTTATGTATAAAGTATATATCTTTAAAAAATTACAACTTTATTGTACATTTACACAAGAAATACATTTACATATGAAATTTTGAGTTTTATTCAGTAATGTATAATTAGTGTACAAACTATTAGGAATAAGATTTAACAAAATTTTAACCTTAAACTTATCTGACATAACTAATAGTAATTATTTTTTCTAACTGTAATACAAGATAGATAATTATTTTATTGTTTTTATACAGCCTCCTTAAGTGAGTGATATGTCATTGATTTTGTAAAAAATAAAATATTGAAGCTGGTTATGGTCACAGAACATGGTTATGTAATAGAGTTCTGCTACTCAGTGTATGTACAATGATTTTAACCTAATATCAATGGTAATCAAATCTAAAGAAAATGTTAGGAAAGCTATATGCATTTATGGAAATATGACCATTGTTAAAATAAAATTCTCAAAGAATATGTGAACACTTTTTGTAATTTATGTTTAAAAGATAGAATAAGACTTCTAAGATATATTTTTAGCCTTAGAATAAAGAATAATTTTAAAGTATGTAATTTCTGTGTACTAACCCATATTTCTAATCTATTGTTGTTATTTCTGTTGTTTTCAGTTATTGCTATCTATGATTATATGGCAGACAAAGATGATGAGCTGTCCTTTACTGAAAATGCTTTGATTTATGTAATTAAAAAGAATGATGATGGATGGTATGAAGGAATTTGTGATGGAATTACAGGTCTGTTTCCTGGAAACTATGTGGAACCATGTTTGTAAATTAACTAAAGCATTTCCTCAAAGTCAGTATCCTAAAAAGATTACAACTTTTTTGTACACTTGCCTAATAATATTGTCAAGTAATTTCCATTGATAATTTTTTTCTAGTGTTCTTCAGTCTCAGGAAGATAATATGTATGTACTGTAATATTATTCTTCGAGAGTATTAGAATCACTGTAGATACACATACTGTCCTCTTTGTGGTTAAATGATTTCCAAATTGTCGCTGACATTTCAGAGTTGGGAATATTAGGTGTATGATGATTTTATTCTTCTAATTTCTTTTTTTCTGGTTTCTACTGAACTTCAATACATATGAAAGTTATTAAACCTTTGCCTTTGATTGTCATGCCATTTTTTTGATAAACAAAACAATATACAAGTCATACAAACGGTATAGACCATCCAAACAGTAAGAGCCTTTAAATTATCTAATTCTGATATGACTGTTAGTAAACACATTTCATTCTAAACATCTCAGACAAGAAATTCGTTTTTACACAGTTCTAATTGTGTTTATCATATTTTAGAATTCTTGAAAATATTATTTACTGAAAGAGTTTTTCTTAAATATTGAGACTCAGTCTACTAAAAGTGGTGTATCATTGTAAACATGATCTTTTACACTTCTATGTTGGTATAACTACTAAAGTAACTGTGTGTGGTGAGGTCTAACTATTTGTTAACCTGTAATAAAATAGAAATAATATATATGTGTGTGTATTTATAATTTATCATTCACCTTGATGAGGTTCTTCTTGGAAGGAAATCTGTCGAAGCAAAGATGGCAAGTTGGAATAAAAAGTATGAAAGTGTTTCTGTATAACATTCTTATAGAGAATGATCAGTTTAGAATTTTTAACTGATTTGTGTAAAATATGTTGTAGTTCATTTGTTTAATAACACCTTAAAAGTGTAACATTTAAAACAAAAGTTAAATTGCATAAAAAATCATTGCTGTTTTAGAGTTTTGTGTAATAGTAGTTTAAAGTGATTCATGGAAACAAAGAAAGATAGCAATAAAAGTATTTTCGGTCATTACAATATCAGCTAGTTCTGTTAGCAAGAAAATACTATTTAAAAATGTTTTTGTTTCTGTTTTATAATTACTTGGAAACTAAGTTTGTTTTTTTCAGCATAGAACTCATGATAATAAACAATAACCCATTAAAATGTTTGAGGAAAAGATAAGCCAGATAACTTTTATTACAGTTTCTGTTTCTTTAGAAAAATGTGGAGGGTTTGTGGGAATTCTTTGAATAAGGTATGTTCATAAAGTCGCATGTACAGGCTTGTGAACATTCAGTAACGAGTAGTCACATAAAGTTGTATTGAGCATGAACTTAACTTTGATTGGTACTGCGATGATTTTGTGCTTCAAGACAATCTTATTTATTGTACTATTCTTCATGCATATGGAGTTGAATAATGCATCCTGTATTAGTTAAAGTACACTGTAACAATGTATGGTAAGATTAGAGTGTCATCAAAAATGAAAAGTTAGTTTGAAACTACTTGTTCTTGCAAGTGTTATTTTGAGCACTCTAAACTGATCTAATTAGAAGTACTTTCAGTACTAATACGATTTAAAAGGTACAAAATTTTTTGCTTACCAGTTTTTAACTTAAAGAATTAGAAGAATTTCACAATTATGTATTTTACACAGGCAATTAAAATCTTTCATTAACTGCTGTAATTATTAAGTGGATTTATTACCCCTATCATGGGGACCAAATACAATTCTTCTGACCTTTTTGTTTTTTTAAACAGTCATTTAATGTGTGGCATTTATGTGTAGCTACCAACCCTTTTGTAATTTATTACATAAAAAAAATCAGATAATTTTCTTATCATTTGATTTATTACACTTACTCTTAAGTAGCATTTGAATTAAAAGGACTTGAGCATATTTTTGTGACCTGCTTAAACTGTAGATGTGTTTATATTTTGTGTCTAAAGAATATGATAGAAACTGCAGAAAGCACTTGAAGTCAGTGTTGTAACCTATTTGAATATTGCTGTATTTAAAATGAAATATTACAAAGTTATAGAAAATTGTTTATTCTGTATTAATTAAAATTTTTTATGAATTTATTTGTTTTTTTCCCACAAACTCCTCCCACAGTTTTGGAACTAGTAGGACAAAATTTGGAAGATGGGCTTGTGGTGACCCAGAGAGTGTTATTATCCATATGGCATAGCCGCCTTGAGGCTAAAACATGCCTGAAATGTCACTTGGGTATGGTGGGCATCATCAAACTTGGGGTTCCTGTTCTCCTTCCAGATGTCAGAGATGCCATGTTTGAAACTGTTTACCCCCCTCCCACCCACCCGCACACAAACTAATGGGACCAAACATGGCAAGCATGCTCAGGTACCATGATCAGGTGTACTAACAGAGTTTTGTTTTCAAGTGTAGACCACCCCTCCCTTGGGGAACCATAGAAATATTTGGGGATAATGAAGGAGTTTGATCATTATTTGGAGCCTTTAAACCCTTCAGTTTGAACCCTTATATGTTATAAGTAGTAATTCTTCACTTAAACAATATAAAATGTCTTAAGATGTGTTGTATATAGTAATGAAACTTGAGTTTTTATTTAGATTTTTTTATAGTAATACTTTTTTAAACAAGTGAAGTTTTTCTTGTGTAAAATTATTATTGTTATATAAAATATAATAACTTGTAATTTCAAGCAAATATTTGTTGTCTAAATTAATTTTATCTTGGTAAAACAGAAATAAATCTAATATATCTATGTCTAAAAATAATAATAATAATGACTTTTTTTTCTTTGAAAGTTTGGATGATGTGAATTCCTAATGTACTCTTTATAAGAGCTTTTTACCCATAATCTACATAACCAAGAATGTGGTTTGTCTGTCTTATAGACATACCTAAACATAACATGATTTTCAAGAAACATTATCACAAGAATTTCATTAAGACATTTTGACTGGATGAAATATTTTTATTTCTAAAAATTCTGTTTGAACAAGTAAAATCAACTTAGTCAGTTATTAAGAAGCTGAACACTGTATTAGTTAGTTATTAAGAAGCTGAACACTGTATTAGTCAGTTATTAAGAAGCTGAACACTGTAGTAGTCAGTTATTAAGAAGCTGAACACTGTAGTAGTCAGTTATTAAGAAGCTGAACACTGTAGTAGTCAGTTATTAAGAAGCTGAACACTGTAGTAGTCAGTTATTAAGAAGCTGAACACTGTAGTAGACAGTTATTAAGAAGCTGAACACTGTAGTAGAC